TTTTAGGGACATCTGAAGTGCATCTTCCCCTGTTTGCATAATTTTACCACATCGAATTGTAATAGATTTTCAAATCAATTTAGAACAGGCAGCATCTAGTGGTTAGCCGACTCTTCATTTTCCCCACATAGAGAGCATCAGGAAAAGTAAGTTAACACCCTCCCAAGCACCTTTAGCCACGAAATTCCGAGCGACTTTAGCGAAAACATGTTCTTAATGTTGCCTTGAGGTAACAATGAGTCAGACCAGAAATCAATCAATTTACCATCTGCAACCATCCAACAAACCTCATCTATGGAAAGCTCTAACACTGTAAAAATGCCTCTCCAAGAATATAAAAATTTCCTCCTAGGGCCAAACTTCTATAGAGTCATTTCAGAAAATACTCATGTTTAAAATACTTAGAAACCAAGGCATTAGAGCTAGAAATAATATGCCACGCAATTTTCATTATTCTTGCCTTATTGAACTCAGAGTTGCTTCTAGCACCAAGTCCTCCCTCTTCAAACTTCAAACATATGGTGTCCCAACTGACCAAATGAAGGCCTCTGGCATCCACAATCCCATGCCCTAGGGAGTTATGTTGCAATCTTTCAATTGAGTTGAAAACGTTTGAAGGAAGGAGAATAGAACGGAGCCAGTATACTGAAGTGTGAGAGATAATCTTTCTCTATATTCAATGAATGAATTTAGATACAATCGTAGATTTATAGAAAGGATACATACCATACTTTGTAATACTATAGGATACATTTCTTTATGGGTGTAGTATACATTTAGCCACTGACAAATCTCAATATTCAATTGCCATATCTGTTGTAGTTGCCATATTTGTCCACCTTTCCCCTCAAACTCTAGATGATTTGAAAGGAATGATGGAGAGTTTGAAAACAAACTGTGAGAAAGGATGCGGAACATGAGACTTAGTGAGTTGTGCTGCGGCGGGCACGTACGAAGAAAATTGTGACAGTTAGATATTCTTGTCGAACATAGTGGCAATCGACTTCAATATGTTTCGTGCGCTTATAGAACCCCGGATTTTTAGAAATACAAATAACACTCTTGTTGTCACAATAAAGTAGAATAGGAGTAGAGATAGTAACACCCATGTCTTCGAGTAGCCAACGTAACCAAACAATGCCATAGCGCGATATTCAGCTTCCATAGTTGTTTGAGCAATTCGTTTCTATTTCTTGCTTTTCCAAGAGATAAGATAATCATGAGAAAAATGCAGAATCTTATGGTAGATTTGCGAT